ATAACGATGCCCAATAATGCTTCATTTGAGGATTAATTTTAGAAAATTTTAAAAGAAAGAAAGGGAGAGACAGAATATTTCTATTATATTCTTATAAGAAGATTAATATTATAAATTGAAAGTAAGATATAAATTTATAATTCGATATATGAAAAAACATACCGGATGAATTGTAAGTTGTATTAAGATTATAGACATTTAACGATGTTTTTGCTGTGTCAAACATTGCATATGAATACAGGCTATGAAAGGCAAGTTTATTGATGTTTAATGTCGTTGTACAATACGTCGTCGCGCCGTAAAAATATTGAACAATGTCCAAGAACACACAACTTCCGTTTAACACAATGGACCATATGCTAGTAATAGCAATTGTTCGCTAAATGAAATGCCAGGAAACTCTGAACTCTTTTAACTTGAAGAAAAACATCAAGGAAATGCCCACAATGCCGTGTAAAAGATATCGTTGCTTTTTGTAAAAACTTACAATGCTATTGACACTTTTTACTAAATTAACTAAATACATAATATATCAGAACTGATATTTACAGGCCATTCTTATAACATTAAAAAAGATACACAGCTTGCGCTATGTCAATGACTTCTAAAAATAAACGAACGTGATGCTACGTGTAAACACGAATTAGCTAATCAAAACGAGAGATCTTTCAACATATTGAATCTATTGGATTGTTCGAAAAGTAGATAAATGTACATATTTATAAATTTCTGTATCTTGTTAATGTGTGTGAATTATCTGTATCTTGTTAATGAATTATTATCGTTTATATAATAGGGCTAATCAAATCTTATTTGTATTGATAATCTCACTCAGATTAGAAGTGCCATAAAATGCCATAAATATGATTCTAAAATGTTATTTGGAATGAGTTTTCATATTTTTTTATATATGAGTTGTTTATATTTTTGTATTCCAAGTGTGTGTATGTGTGTATTACACAAAAGTGCAAACTAAAAATAAAATGCTATGTATCGACGCAAAAAACAGATAGACAACAGCAATAAATTATTTGAAATAAACTACGATAAAGAGAACTCAATTACGCGATATTTCAGAATTAATTGTCAGATAGTAGATATATCCAGACATAAACAGCGCGAGTACAAATGTCAAATGTCTCTTTCATAACAAGTCATGAAGCCTATTTGTCCTGGAAAATTACAATCTCCGCTTTCCTCCCCTGCCCCCGTCCCCCCTTCTCGTTTCTTTCACCTTTACGACCTATATATAATATAAAACATCCTATTATCTTTCCGCTCTCTTGAGAATAATAAGAATGACATATCAAAAAAGTTTAATATGAATAAATTATCAATCGCTCGACTGATAAATGATTATTTCAGCGTCACGTTCGTTTATTTTTACAATTCATTGATTTGCAACGTCATAGAAAATTTCTTCATTCCGGATGACATTAGAACAACAAAATGGAATAAATGTATCTCAAATAATCGCTCACCTTGTCGTAAATCCGATTCAGCAGCCTAGGCACGGCCGGCATGACGGTAGGTCTGAGGGCCTTCATGTCCTCGGGTAGCTTTTTGATGTCACCGCTGTAAAAGCCGACTGCGCCGCCCATCATGTACATGGAATTCTCGCAGCAGCGCTCCAACATATGCGCCAATGGCAAAAAGCTGATCAGCGTGTCCTTGCTCGTAAGACCATGATCGCCCAGCTGCAACATCACCGAACAATTGGCCGCCATGATATTCTGATGAGTCAACATGACGCCCTTCGGATTGCCTGTGGTGCCGGACGTGTAACATATCGTACAGAGATCGGACGGCTTCGGCGGCAGCTCCGGATGATTCTTCTGGGCGCCAAGACGCTCGATGTCGTCGAATCTGTACAGCTCGATGCCGCGGTTCTTTGCCCGCTGATTCGTCGCCGGCCGCGTCTCCTTCATCACTATCAGCTTCCGTAAACACCTGTCGTAATACCGAGGAAACGTTGAAATATGACAGGCACAACGGAAGATGGGGGCTTCATCAGCCGGGGAAGCCGCTCGCCTGCTTTGTAAGCTCTTGCGAGCTCTTGGCAGCGTTACAAATTAACACTTTCAACATCGCTGTTTTTGAAAACATTTTCTCTTTGAGAAAACCAACGCTCCGAACGTGTGACCACATCTCGTGAGGTCGCGTGACATTGCGTCATAGACGAAAATTTGTTGTAAGATATTAGTAAAATATAGATCTATATCTCTTATATGGAATATGTCGAAGAACATGCGATTAAAGTGTCATTAATGTATTTTGTTATTAATATTGCGATGATGGAGACACTTTGCATATATTTTTAAACATAGATGAGTTTTGCGAAATTGGTTTTCTTTTTTCTGGATATTATTTCGCATAAATATTCCGCTTAAAAAGGAGTTATTCCTCGTAATCTAATTACATATTTATACATAAATTATTCGGTATCTAATATGCAATTGATATATCAACGAGGACTAAATTACATTATGTACGATTTTTCCATTGGTACGCTAAATTAAGCGCTGTTTAATTTTTAAACGTATAACTCCATCCATAATGAATAGCATTGATAATATTCTCAGATTACATATAGTTACGCAAAATAAATTTTCCATGAGAATGTATGCCAATTGCTGTATGTTGCTAGTATTTTGAATAATTGATAATTAAACCAATTATTGATAACCGATAATTATCCAATTAACAGAGTAATAAGTAGAAAAAAATGAAGTATACAAGACATCTTAAAACCAAGAAAATTTAATAGAAGAGTTACGAGATTGTTCAAAGGATTAAGAGATAATTTAGAGCTGCTAGAATATCCTAGTATTTTCCTACGAAGAATTGTCAATATTGTCACGTACCTCGGTGCTTTGTCGAGGAGTAAATTGCACTTTTGGTCATCTTCGCATACCACCACATTAATCTCAGCCTGATTGATTATGTACGCGCAAGCGTCCGGGCCCAAGGTGTCGTACAATGGTACCACCACGAGTGAATATGTATAACATGCCTGCTCGGTGAGAACCCACTCGGGGCAATTCTGACTGTACAGGCCTATTAAAGTTTGTGGACCAGGGGCCAGCCCCAGGGACACTAGGCCGGAACCAAAATTCTTCGCCCTGAGCAGCGTCTCGTTGTAATGAAGCCATTGGTAGGGTTTGTTGGGCCCGTCCCTCCACCCGAGACAGGGACCATTATCTGCGAATGAAAGAAAGATCATATTGATCAAAGAGAATAATTACTTTAACGTAAAATTCATAAATCCTGTTTAGGATTCTTTAATATATCATAATCAGATCGATTAAAATACGCTTATGCATCAAGAATAACGCGTTGGAAAAGAAAATAGATTTCTTATTCAAACAAAACTTGAGTAAAAAAGTTTGATAATAAAAGAATTAATGTGAATCTATTCTACATAGTAACTAAAATATATATAAGTATAATTTGTGGTATAAATGAAAATTAACTAAAGTACACTCTCTTTATTACATCATTACATATTATTTAATCAAATCGATTTATGGAAGGAATAACACTATTATTTTTGTTCTTTTCACTGTTTTTGCAATATTTGAAACAGCATTTTATTTGATTATTGATGAATGTTACTCAACTCAAAAATTCATGAAATTATGAATTTTTAGAAAACATAGAGAGTGTCTTAATAAGTAATGCATTACTTTTGTTTGCTGCCCAAGTTTATTTTAAGAAGGTAAATCAAATCTAGGAACTGTATAATTTTTGTTTTTAATTTATTCTTCGCAAAAGAAAGAAGATATAATAGAAGATAGAAGATATAATTTAATAAAGAAAAAGTACTTTCTTCAAGAAGACGCAAGACGTCTTTATAATATAATATAGTTATCTAATATATAATCTAATATAGTTATCTAATATAGTTATCAGTTATTGAAATTATTAATTATTCATGCATTATTTATTATTGTTTAAACAAGTTTAAACAATTGCTAGCTATATTAAAAATGCTAAAAGTCTAGTACTTATATTTTTAAAATTTCATAAATTTCAGAATGTTCTAGTCGAAGAAAATTCTTTCTCATGAATAAAATTAATAATAAAACACAAATGCAGGACGATCCGACAAAATAATCAAACAATCTAAACAATCCGAATAAATAATAGCTCACGTGGTGGACTACTAGTCGCACAAGATTTTCTTATACGTCATACAATTGTTAAGCGAGCGGCACCTCGGCAATATTATCGATTCTTCGGACACGCTCGCCGTCATCGTTAACGTCGTTATCGTTATAGGTCGCATAAAGCTGCGACAGGTGTCGGCTGCGGGGGCGTAGGTTTCGCGCGGCGAGGCGAAAATAAGAGATGTTATACACGTGCCCGAAATAACTGTCAACCTTCGTCGAAAAGGTCGTCGAATCTCGACGAAGCGCGTATCGCCGGCCGATAATTCGTGCCGTTAAGTCCGCGCTCGTTAAGAAGCCGCTTGTTTACTCGTTTTATAGCGCGATCTTCGGTGCCGTGTCGCTTGCCAAACGAGTCACTAGCTAAATCGACGTACGCAATTGCACGCGGATGTGCAAAATGTATGCGTAAACATTGAATGTGTCGCGTCCGAAAACTTCAAGTACGAATATTGTAGAGATTTATGCGATTTTCCATCTAACATCGCTTCTTGAGTTATTCTGTCACTTAATGTCATCACTCGACATTAAGTAAACGTGACGTTAGACTTCAGTTGAAATTAATGTATATAAGGAATCAATCAAACGCCACTTAACTTTAATTAAATTTAATCGGGAAACCACTATTTTCATTTTCAAAGATTGGAATGAGAGAAAGAGAATTATGTTGCTTCTGAAAATAATGACTCACTGGATTCCTTGGCGCCGCGACGGAAGCTGTCATAGAGGGTGAGCGTATCCTCGTATAAGAAGGTAATGAATTTGCCTTCTCTGCCCTCCTTGTAGAACTTGGACACCCGGATATACTCGTTGCCCTGCGAAGAAGAGACGAGAAGTCAAGTAAAACACTCGCGAGAGAAAGAGAGAGAGAGAGAGAGAGGGAGAGAGAGATCCGGTACATACGAAGTCCGGTCGATCATTACGTAACCGGACATATGGCAAGTGCAACACTAAATTTAGCCGGGCGATGCACGCGGCCCCGCGTACGTATCAACGCGCACGGAGCAGCCGATTACGCGACATGGGGCAAAGGGTGCAGGTAAAGGGACAACTGTTTATTTCACGACAGCACACATATTCGTACATATATTCGCCCATTTTCTATATATCGATTTCTGCCGCCCAGACTGACGCGGACGTCCGCTTTTTTCAGCCTCATCGACGTGCTTGTGTAACGACAACTACCCACGTTCTCGATGCATACTGCATCGGCAAAACGTTTCGTATACAAGGTTAAAATGACCTATGTATTCTTGTAGTAATTTGCGGATTTCTTCGCGAAAAATCTCTTGAAAATATGTTTTTTTTTTTTTTAATTATAATTAGCGGAAAATATATATAAAACGCTTTTTCAAAACTGAGCTTTGAAGGAAAGTGCAACGTCGTTAAAAATGTATGTATGTTTTTTTTTAATCGAAAAATGAAGAGTTTTATTTACAAGCAAACAAGAACTTACGATATAGTCTCTCACGATGGAAAATAATGCAATTATTATCATGAATAAATTTAATTAATTTAAAAAAAAAACTGGGTTTTTTTGATGCATTTAATAAAATTTTAAAAATGGCCTTTCTTTTCTTGATTTAATAAACAATGCAATCTTGTTTGCCATTTAAATTTAAATTTACGAAGAGATTCACATTCCAAAAAAATTTTAATTTTTAATTATATATATGAAATATTTAGCATTAACAATAAATCAAATAAATTATAAATGCAACGCACAGTGTATTAAAAGTTACATATGTATATTACGACTTATTATGATAATTATACTTGTTTTATTATCATATATCTTTACATGACATAGTAATTACGAAATAACTCACTAAAGATTCAAAATTATAGGGTGGTAAATGAGAGCTCCGATAGAGTTATTTATAACTCAAATAGTATTACAAAAAATTTACATCTCTTTATGGTAAATTGTATCTAATTTTGCATACAAACAAGATATCACGTTCATATGCATAACTTATAATCAATTGCGTTCAATTATACATTTATTTAACACAGCATATTTAACTATAGTTAAATGTATTTGTGTGAAGATTTTTATTTTGCGAAATTACGCGTCTCATAAAAAAAAAAGCTTCGAAGCACGACTTTGATCGTCGTAAGTAAACGAGAAAATGAACCGCGTCGCGCGTACCTCTGTCGAGCTGGCTTCCCATCTTGCAAAAATAAAAAACGAATTGCGCATAATTATGAGCTATTTATGCGAGCTTTTATATCCCGCAAATTAAAAATATTGAGCTCGTTACCCTGGGCAGGAATTTAATACTTTTTGTGGGGTACACGTATTTTGCAAGCTCATAAATCGATAAACAATATTTAGTCGCGAAATAATTAATTTCTTTCGTTTTAAGTATAATTCTCTCTTGTGCTAGGGAGATGTGAGGTGATTTTATTGTAAAGAGATTCAGTTCAATAATCAAAATGCATGTATTTTACGAGCTCATAAATCGATAAATAATATTTAATCACGAAATAATTAATTTCTTTCATTTTAAGTATAGTTCTCTCTTATGCTAGGGAGATGTGGGGTAGTTTTATTGTAAAGGGGTATCAGCTCAATAATCGAAATGCGCGTATTTTAAATTATTCTTTTTCCACGGAGGCCTTGATCTTCACCTTGATCGTCTCAGACTGATCGCCGAGATCTATCGGTGGGTGGATCGGCTCGGGAAGGAAACAGCCTGACGACATGCTGGTTGACGGCACACGTAACACGCACACTCTTGACAGGCGCGCATACGCCGTCGGGCTCTCCTCTCAAGAGAAATCGGTTTCTCCGACACACAGGCAGGTATAAAAACGGATTGGTCCAACCGGACCAACGCGCCCGCGGTCACTGAATTCAAATCGAGCTTGCGACCGAGCTTGCGGTCCGAGTTTTTGGCTCGCGGCGCGAATATCACGCGGATGATGCTGCTCGGCGCTGCTCTCCGCGGAAGAGATATCTGTCGTACTGTCAATATTGTCGTCAGTCATTTCAACAGGTATATCCCGGTAAAGATAATATTCCGATATTACCGGGAATATCCGGACGTTCGAGTATATATGGTTAATGCTCATAACTATACGGAGAAACTTTGATGGATCGTTAATGTGAAATCGAAGCGAAATTATGGTAGTAAATCAAGTTGAAATACCTGTTTAATATATTCAAGCGATACCTTAAAACGGGAATTTTCCTTCATCGTTAGATTCAAATTATTATGTAAGATTCTCACAATGTTTCTCTTTTTTAATTAAGGAAAGCGATAATCTTTTAAAGCGATAATCTTTCTAAATTTCTCGAGAAGAACGTAAAAGAAAGTTGCCGAGACTTATTATATTGGTTCTAGTCCTTGGCTGAACAAGTTCGAAATAAAAATTTAAATCCTCAGATATTTACTAGAGACTGCTTCCTCTCTGATCGTATTACGTTTTGATGAGATTGGATCATCGTTTCAAACTTTTAAAAAAGAAGGTGGCCTTTTTTCAAACCGAACGAAACCTGAGAAATTAATCCCAAAAGTTGATATACTCAAAAATTATATAAACATGGAAAAAATTGTAGAAAATTTAAAAGCAAAGATAAAACAGATTTAAATCCTACAAAGATATATAGAATAACAAAATATTATCAAAAAAATATAATTTATCATCATTATTTAGATTATGTAATTCGCCAAAAACACACTTGCAGGAAAAAAGCTTTCGAGGGCTCTCGATAAAAGACAATATAGCGTATAAAGGAACAAGGAATGTACAAACTAGGTTTCCACGATGACTAAACAGATCATATTCATATCAGCTCTGATAAAGTGCGACAGAGATTTCTTAATCAGAGGAATAGAGATATGTCAGTTTAGATGTTATGTTCGCGTGCACGGTTTCGGTATCTTCTCTCTACGTCAAATATCAAACTCTACAATGCGGACTTTTTTGTCGAATCTTGAGATTTCGTGTTCTTTTAGGTATCGTTCACGTAGACAGAGATGTTGAAAGTACTCGGACATATATATTCAAGTACTAGTTTTTTTTTTTCTATCATACAAATATCAGGTACATTAAAAAACAGAAATGAATCGAATGGATCCAAACAATAGTGTTGAACAAAAAATCCGAAATATGTAATCCTCTATTCTAAATATTCACCCGATTTTCGATCTGATAGATTGCATAAAAATGGAAATCGCACAATTTAAACCGCAATATCCGTATTGACAATGCTAAAGCCCGTATCAAACTACGCATTGAAAATTGAAGATTGAAGATTAAAGATTGGAATTTGACTAATCAGAACAAAAGGAACTAAAATTTCTTTGTCCTGATTGGTCAAATTTCAATCTTCAATCTTCAATCTCAATCTTCAATGCGTAGTCTGATACGGGCTTTACGCGACGCCAACCGGCCTCGCGAAGATCCTCGACTATGCGTTTAAATATAGTACGTCGTCGTCCTCGAGAAGTTTGGACAATTGCCAGCGGGAGTTTGGCCGACCGATCAGCGTCGGCCACACGTCGAGTGGTGGAACTTTGCTTTTCGCGGTGTTCATTCCTTTTTCGCGTATCGTATCTCGTCGCGTGAGCAGGTAATTTCTAAAATGTTCAGGGCGAGGTGTTATTACGCCGAGAGATGTGCAAAATATGCCGAGCTTCAAGATCGAGCGCTTGTTTTATGGATCATTCGCTGTGTAACGTGAAAAAATCTGGACGAAGGATAATACATAGAGCAGGTAACGCAAAATGTTATATTGCTCCGAAATGTTGTAAACTGTTGTACGTATTTAAAAAAAAAAAATTTCATTTGAAGGTGATACAGAATTCTAAGCGAGTTTCTTTCGAAATAATTTAGCTGTCAAATCGATTAGATTATTATAGACTTCTATTGCGATGCTTTTCTTAAGAGAACATTTATTAGAACAACAATAAATTGATTAAATTTTAGTTTGATCAATCGATGCAAACGAAGAGCAATAAAACATTCAAAAATTAGAAATGTTTGAATAAACAGTTAGGATTAAAAGAAAATGAAGATTGTCATGTCAGTAGTGATGATCTTCATTCAAAAATAATGCAGTACGTATTACATATGATACGCAGAGTGTTTAAAACTTAACGTATTTATTTATTTTCTTCTTTGGATTCTTTAACCATTTCGTTTTCCTTGGGTTCCTTAAAAAATTTTTTTAAGCCTATTTTCATTTTTATTGTCTTGTAAAAGAATCGTGAAAGATATTCTATTAGATATTCTAGAACACTCTACATAAAAGGATCATAGAGGATAGTCAAGTGTTGACTATTCGCAATCTGATATTTAATTGAATCATTCAATGAAAGAATGAATTCTATAGTTATACGTCATTGATATATAATTTAATATCCATTAATATATATAAAATGCAATGATTAATCCTCTCAAAACGTTAAAGCTTGCAAGTTTATGAATCTTATAAAAATAATTGACGATGTGCGAAACATCAATATAAAACAGTTGCAAATATTTATGTGTAAACATATACGGTGAAAAAACGCACATCGGGTTCACCAAAATCGATATCTTATTCCTCGCGACGATAGTCAGGGTTTGAAGGAAAGCCTATGTAAACCGAGACGAGGGTCGCTGCGAGCCGATTGATAAAGTTAATCTGGAAAGCTCATTATCTATATATCTGTATATTATATATCTGTAGTCAGGCTTCGAAAAAATCTTTAGTGAAACGCGTTTAATACTTGGAATATTATATTTTGTAAAAGATTCTGTAAAACCGCGTGACGCTAATGTCTATGTAAAATGTTCGTGTATAATATGCGGTCAATATATTTTTATTCTTGCATATTAATTGAACTCTCATTTTGCATATTATCTTGCATATTAATTGAACTCTCACTCACACTTCGATCGATTGTTCATTTTAGCTTCGCATTTGCTATATTAAATCTTATAAATGCTTTTTGCTCGAAAATGTATCAATCGCGCACGTTTCTTTTTATTTTGAAAAAAATTTAGCTAGATGTATCTTTGTTTTTCAAAAATTATGCAGACCGCGATTCTTAACGAATCGTAGATTAATACTCTTTAAGATATATATCTAGAATTCACGCACAAAATAAAAAAAATATTATATACGTCTATGTCATTTAGATTACATTTTGGTATAATATAAAAAATATGTTATAGAAATGCTCTTCTTCCACTGTGTGTGACGCACGTTAATATATACTTTTTAAAAGTTATTTTTTTGTATTCGACGAAAAAATAAATAATCTCTAATGCATTGCGTATCTTTGTTTGCACATTAATGGACGTCATTGATTTATATGTCGCACAAGCAATGGATTTGAAATATCCTTAGAAATAAAGATCTCTCTAATGAATTTAAATCAGAAAATCAGAAACGAAATCATAATATGTCTATCAATATGTTTACCTCTAGACAGCACGGAAAGGCCAAAAAATATTTTAAAGGTGACGATAAGACATTTTTAAGTTGTTTTTTTGACGTCTTTTAAAGACACGTACTGTCTGAATAAACATTACATCACGTTAAGTAATACTTAAACATCGCGTTATAACGTGTGTTAAATAAAAGCAGAAAACAAAAAATACTCTTTGATTATATTCTTTAATTTATTATCAATTAACCATAATCTCTTCGTATTAATTTAACATCAACACATAAATATGTGTTGTATGCTTTATTGTTGTGTATCACATAAGAATCTTTTCGTAATTTTTTCATTACTACTATAATATTTATAATAACATTTTTTGCTTAACACACATGTCACATAAATAAGTAGCCCACTTTAAACTGCCCATTAAAAAATAAAGTATAAATAATTTATTGCCACTAAACATACCTACTATTAATTCATGTGATATATTTTTTCTTTCTAAACTCTAGATTTAATGCCGATATATATTGATATACAGGGTGTCCCATAATTCGTGGATCACCCGCCATGTGCAGGTAGAGCTATTTGTTCCAATTTTAGGATTTGTATTTGCCAATTCTAAATTTAGGCTCTACCCAATAATTAGGATATTTGTTCGAATGTCTTGTATTTTGTAATAAATAATTTGAAA